CAAGTATGTTCTCTTTGGACAATCACGGAAGTTACATTTAGGGTATTCCAAACGCTACGTAGACCAATCCAACGAACGTGAACTTTTCGAAATGTGTGCGTTTAGTGGGCAATGGCCCTCCCTAACATCAGAAACAAACCCAATGTCGATATCTGCGCTCGTTTGGGCACAGGAGTCAGAAGAAACGAAACTACCCCGAAACGTGAGAATCGCTCTTGCAAGCTTTCTGCTGCAGCAGCAACAAACAAAGACTACACAGGTAAACAACCATGTCTTACCAAAACAATTTTCTTTCTTGCATGTACTTAGTGTTTCAAGCTGTAAGTGCCACCAAGATACTACCGTTCCTTTTCACAAGTTATTTCGATTGTTTGCAAGTGACACGATAAAGTTCAGGACGTTGTTCAAATTTGTTTTGAGATGTATTCTTCCTGTAAGCTTTGTTTTATGGTTTCCTTTCAGACACAGTTTACGAGCAGTCAGGCAAATTGTAGTTGGAATCAAGAATGTAGCCCAGCCAGTGGCCAGTACAGAGACTCTGCAGCAAGGTCAACATCAACAGTTTCTTTGGATTGACTGAAAATTTCCAAGGTGTCTTATGCAATAATAATCTGGTTTATTTCTTTCCTTGCTCCAGGTAATGATTTAAATAACAACAATAACAATAATTCCAAAGTAGAAGTCATCCGAAGAAAATTGACTTTTCCAATAAGAGCAGCAAAACGGGAGGTAAATATCATAAGTTGAGCAAGACAACTGATTTCTGCTTTGCTTGCTATGGTTGCATGCAAATATATGAGTAAGTTTAAATTGCCATGGCTGTGCCATTCTGGCTGAACTTTAAATATATTTATTTATTTCTGTAGATCCTGCAGTGGCTGTACCATTTTTACTAAAAGCTAGAGAAGCTAGTCTAATACCATCAGGGGTAGTGGAAACCCCTGTGGGTGCTGTAGAGACTAATTTACAGTCTCTTGATAAGGGAGTATGGGGCGATTTGTAACAGGGGCGATTCGTAACACATGCGTTTATTAATTTAAGTGGAGGGAGCAGAGGAAAATCTGAGTATGGCCCCTCTTTCGCTTCAAGTACAGGGTCCTTCTACAATCAAAGCGGATGTGATCGGTGCTCAGGTATAGTGTTGGAGGGCGTCTGAAATTTAGGGTACACCGAAAACAGGTAAATCTTTCATTTTGAGTTCTAGGAAGTTTCTGTCTGAGGCTCCCCAGGTATGAATCACCATCGAAGTACCGTTGGGGCCTTGAAGCGTGACCCCTTTACAATGTAACCACGTGGCATAAGGTGCTTTTACTTTGTCCAGTGATAGTTAGGGACGTATTTCTTGCGTAGCCGGCAATTGGGGTGATTCGTAACAGACCCGTATAAAAACAAGAAATTTAAGTAATTTATGCAATTAAATGCTTGAATTATTTCTCGAATCATCTGCTGCCTAATTCCAATACATTTACACAGTTCAAAATGCATTTTAAAGCGAGTTATTCTATTATTTCCTCCAAAATTGAAAAAAGTGAGGTTAGGGTTGACATAGCCGGTCAGTTTATGCTGAGGCGGTCAAGGGCAGCTTGTAATGTAGATTTTAAGGCGTCTGTAGGACATCCGAAGAACAACTGCTGGAGGAGATAACATTCCGGACGATGTTTCGTTTAATGTGTAGGCTGTTATGAAAAGCCCCATGGCTGTTACAAATCACCCCATGCTGGGGCGATTCGTAACAGCATGCAAGGGTTTGGAAAGCGTCTTAGATTTCAAAGATTACGGACTCCAGATTGATCCAACGGAGCTGCACAGTCTAGATGAAGGGCCAGACTGCTCAACTGGCACAAGTTTGACACCGATATGCAGAATGTTCTTAATTTTGTATAGAGAATTCCAAAATCTGTTACAAATCGCCCCATACTCCCTTACGTTTAATGACATGATGGATTCAAGTAATGATGCAGGTATGATTGAACCCATTCGATTATAAAAACTATCTTAATTCTCTTGAGTGTGTGGCTGCGCCGTTCTGGCTGAACTTCAATTATTTTTTCCTGCAGATCCCGCAGTGGCTGTATCAGCTGGAGAAGCTAGTCTGGAACCATCAGGGGAAGTGGAAATCCATATGGGAGCAGTAGAGACTAATTTGCAGTAACTTGATGAATTGAGTGATATGCTGGATTTAAGTTATGATGCAGGTATGATTTAAACCCAACTTATTATGGAAACTATCTTAATTCTCTTAAAAGTACATTTTTTTGCACTTAATTTAATTAAAAATGTATGTTAATTTATTCACAGACTGATTTTAAAATGAACTTGTTTATATTGGCAGATTCTACAGTGGTTTCTCTTAGTGACTCAAGTGCACAATTACAGGAAGCTATTTTGGGATCAAGGGGGTGAAGAGGAAAGTAATTTCATCAGTGAAGCAAGTAAGAGCAACTGAAATTTTTAAAAATATTGTGATTTTACTTACAAAAGTTTATTTCTGTACTAGCTTGCTACTGTACTTCATTTTTGGCTGAGCGATAGCGAAGCCTGTTACTCCAGTGGGGTTGAAAAGTTTTTTTCTGTCTGTCTGTCTGTCTGTGTGTCTGTGTGTCCGCACTACTCCTCCTGAACGGCTCGGCCGATCTCGGTGAGATTTTGCACACTCTTTGGGTATGTCCTTGGCTCGGCACACGCGAAATTTCACTACCCTAGCTCAAATGGTTCAGTTTTTATAGCGAAAAAACACCTAAAAAACGGCGAAAAATCGAGTTTTCCGCAGATAGATTACTTCTGTCTTGGAGAAAGGGGGGTCTGGGGGGCGGAGCCCCCCAGCCCCGACAATTTAAAAAGTGACAAGGGTCAAGATCGTGTTATCTGTAGATAAAACAACTCTATTTAGAATGTAGGGGGGTCTGGGGGGCGGAGCCCCCCAGCATTCAACAAGTTAAAAAATAACCAACAATGGCCAAGCCATTGCCTGCCGCAGGCAGGCTAGCGCCGCAGGCCAAGGTAGGTACTTACGCCAGGCGCGGATTGGAGAAACAGGCAGCGAGACATCGCGAAGCCTGTTACGACAAGACGCGGTCTGGCGTAAACCTACCTTGTTATTTGTTGAAGGTTTAGATCCTGTTGTCCCCAGGTGTCCAGAACGGGGCTTCTCATGTTCCGTTCCACGTTCCGTGATGGAACGACACGTTGCAATCGCTGTGTGGTTCCGTTCCACAGCGGAGCGAGCACCGCTCGGTTCCATAATGGAACGCTCATGTGTAGGAACTGGGCTGTGGTTCCATCTCGCCGTTCCTGAACGAGTGGGACCACGGTTTCGGTTCCGTGTTCCGGAACAGTCGGCGGAACCGGCCCGTTCAGCGTTTGATCCACGTTCCACTTCATTTTCACGGGCAGTGTTGCCGCTTCTCCCAGCAGCACGGCAACGTCGTGCAGCTTCCGATGGATTTTTGCGACGGCTGGCTGTCGCTCTACCAAGTCATTTTGTCGAATTCTCCCCGTTCTCGGCGGCCCGCTAGATGGCGCTAGTGTCGTTTCGCGGCGCTACCCTCGCGTTTTGTGGTACTTTGCCATTTTGCCTAGTCTGAGCGCTCTGATGAACATCCCGCAGGTGCGCCCCGCGGGGACACCCGCTGGCATGAGCAGTCAGAGATGGCTCAGACGAGGCGGTCGCATCGTCTGAAATCACGATGACATTGTTCACCGCCTTTGACTCAGGTAAGATTTGTATTTTGAAGAGCAGAAAGCGGATGCCCTGTATTTTGTCTTCCGTAATCAACAGGTCGATCAAATCAGCCAATTCAAACCCATTGCCGTTTTGGTTCCGAGCGGAACAGAGCGACCTTGCGCACGGGCCGGGTCCGAGCGGAACGGACTCGTCTTATTCGTCCGCGGATCGGGTCCGGTCCGAGTGGAACAGAGTGATCTGGTCCGTGGAACGGGTCCGAGCGCGGAACGGAGGTAATAATGGTCCGCAGACCGGGTCCGAGTGGTACATAGTCAGGTGGATCCATTGCCGGAGCGGTTCCAAAAGAAAACAACGTGTTCCTCGTTCGGATCCGGAACGGAACGGGGAACTCGTGGATCTTGGAACGGAGAAGGCCCCGTTCCGGACCCCTGGTTTACATGAAACATGAAATTCTCTTCTCCCATGACAATTCTAATTTACCATTCGGTTTAAAGAAGTTGAACGCTGGGGTGAGGAGCTGAAGGAGTCATCAAACAATGTTCTGAAGCAAAATGAAGAGTTAAGACAAATGATACTGGTAAGGCAGTATTTATACACTTCATAAAATGAAAAGACTTCAATGCATTCTCTCATAGTTGATTATCACTTGTATTTTGATGTGCATTATTTCTTTCTTTTAAGAAAAACGAAAATTTGCCTCAGCAGATCAATGAGGATGGAAAACAGAGAAGAAATCAAAACTGTAAGTGCATTTGTCTTATTGTTATCAGTGTATGATGTGACAAATTTATAATGTTGTCATGTTGTCTACCTTTCATACTTGTTAGTTGACAGTCAAATAGCTTCTGCAAATTTTGTTTCATCAAAAGTTGGAAAACAGTCGCGAACTTATATGCTAGCATTAAAATGAAACATCGACCTACGACCTTGCATCAATTAACTACTTATTTTGAAAGTGTCAGTAAGAATTGAGCTGTATAGAAGCAAGATTAAATGAGTTTCGGGCGATGAAATGACCGGCATGGAGGCAAAGCAAACTCAGTATGTTCAGCTTTCATGTTCCCAGCATCCTCTGTGGTAGGAAAAAAAGTCCATAATGTGTACAACAAACAACGACTGTACAACAAGTGAATACACCAGCAAAAAGTTAACGTAAAACAAACGTACAGGCCTGAATGTTGAACAAGTTGACTCGGTAGTCCACTCGAACCGTAATCCTTACATTGTTCGTGTATTTATGGCTGTGGTCGTGTGCAACCCGTCAAGGTCAGTGAATGCGGCGTGGATTCCTATTCAGCCATTCTCAATTGTGCCGCGCCCGAGTAACGCCGCGGTCACCCACAGTGTTTGCAGAGGCCTACAAGTTTGGATTCCTGTTAATAGTACAAACTGACAGGTAGCTGTGAAGAAAATTGACAACCATGATATTCAATAGTGCAAATTGAAGTCCGAACCTGCAAGAGGGTGTAGGATCGGAACAGATACTGGCGGTTTTTACGTTGTTGTTTTTTTCTTCAGAGCCCTTTTGGAGGGCCTGATATCTGCAAAATAAAAGAATACAAGTAGGAAACCTGTGGTATAACTTGCTGATTCATTAATAGTGTCGTACGTCTAATCGCTATCAAGCTACCTGTGCGGCATCTCCAGAAGTCGCAAATCGATACGTCCTAATTAAATAATGTTAACTGTCGGAGCAGAGTCAAGATAATCCTAACTGTCAGTGCAGTTTAAGAACTATCTTAACTCCAGGGGTACCTTAAAGTGATGATGAACGATCTTTACTACAAATCAGAGGATCTCGATATCTCTGGAATACATTGTCCACGTATTAAGGATGAAACTTCCCAACAAGCCCCTCGGTGTTTTGTGAAGTACAGTATGTTGGTGTCACGGACTTCTAGAAAAGACCGCTTTTCACGCCTTGTGCAGTTAGGATAGTTCTGAAATGACACTGACAGTAAGGATTGTCTTGAATCTGCTCTTACAGTTAGGATTTCCTGATATCTACTCTGACAGACAGGATTATTCTATTAGAAAGCGTCGAAATCTGCGATGGAAGAGTACGAGTATTATCGGGATCAGTATCGTTTTTAAACAGCTTTGCGCAGTGTGCAAAAGCGATAAAAACATTTTAATCATTTCAACTGACACTAATATTTAGTGGGTTCGACTTGGTTAGGAAGGCCGGGTATACATCAGGCGCGGTTTAAGGAGCTCCCGATAGGGATGGCGATGGTGTATTTGCTGAGCGAAGCGAAGCACCCTGTTGGGAAATTTGAACGTTCAAACTGTCCCCTCTCTCCTGATACCTTTAGTTTACTATGTAGGTATCTTATTATTGATCTTTTCTTATATCTATGTGTGTATACATAGTCCAAGGTCAATAGTCCGAAGTCGATAGTCCGAGGTCATTAGTTCTGTCAACCGTCTCTCAGTGTTTGTTGACGGAATTTGCCTTTCTGAAACTGAAATTTATTGATTGAATGGCTACCGCTAAAGCCACACATCACTGAGAATGAAAGAGTCATGATCATGACTAAACTTTTGGGCGAGGAATTCTTTATCACCCGAATTTGGGTGAGGAAGGTTTCCTCGCCCAAATTTGGGTCATAATACTATGGAGCCATGTAGGTAGCGGATACACCTTTACTTACCCAAATTTGGGCGAGGAAATAATCCTCGCCCAAATTTGGGTGATAAGTATACTTCGCCCAATATTAGGTATTGATCTGACTTTTTCATTCTCAGTTATCTTTGTATTTTCACATGAAATGAACAAAATCTTTTTTATTCGGGGATTTTAAACCCATTTTGAACACTTTACGCATCCTTTTACTTGTGCTATGCTCTGTCTTCCCGGTGGAGAGCTACATGCACTTATTTTTGCAGTGCAGCCCCTTCAGTTGAAGTGTTCTGATCTCCATTCACCGCTATGTTACGACGAGGTTCGGAACTTGTCGTGGTACTAATTGTCACACTGTCGAACCGCAGTTTTCAAAAAGCAATCAGCAATACAGCGGTAAGCAATACGCTTAGTGTATACGCTTTTTGGCCCGTCCCGTTTATTTTTTGTAAAAAAATGACGGAGGGACGGGCATATAGTATGATGCATGCTGTGCGTCCGTTCGTTCGTTCGTTCGTTCGTTCGTCCGTTCGTTCGTTCGTTCGTCCGAGGACTTCCCGTGGTCCGATCTTGACCAAATTTGGTATGCAGCCTCCTTGGGTGACCCTAAGAACCGCCCGGTGGCAGCAAATCCGATCCGAGCCCCGGGGGCGCGGCTGCAGGTGCATCATGGTCTACATGGGGTCCAGGAGGATCTCGGCAACGGATGCAGCTAGGAGGGCATGTAGGGGTATTTTTGGAATCGGGGCGACGAGAGAAAACCAATGGTGCCAGTTTCGAGCAAATCAGAGAAGTTCGGACCCGGGTTCAAATCCCAGCGGGGTATTTTTGGAACATTCTTTTTATTCGAGTTTTTGCATTGTTTCTGATGTTTTTGAGGGTGCTGATGACGAAAACGACATTTATTTTAACCCCAGACTCAGATTTAATTCCCGTCAGGGTCAAACATAGGAGAAATTCGTACGTTTCTTAATGTACGGGACGGGCCAAAGTTGCCGATGTATATCGCTACTTTTCCTGTTATTATTTGCCAAGATTCTCCGCAGCCCTTTTGTCAATATTCTCTGTTAGCTCTTACAGCATCCTCCGTAGGACCTTACAGTCGTCTCCGTATAACCTGGAAGACCATATGGTCCTACAGAGACCACTGTAAGGTCCTACGAAGAATACTGTAAGGCCCTATGGAGAATATGAACAAGGGGGTATACGGAGAATTACCACAAGCTGTTCACATAATTTTCTGTAGCTTTTTGCCACAGCCCGGTAAAAACGGTACCTGGTTTTTCCAGGAAGCCCATGGTGGAGACATAGGCGATTTCCAGGGAGTTCCTGGGAAAACTAGGAACCGCTTTTCCCGTGAGTGTTCGGAGTGGCTTCCAAGTGGGCCGTTAAGGGATTGGCAATAGGATCTATCCATGTCGCTCCAGGGGTAGCTCCAAGGGTAGGGTCAGGGCGGGGAAGAACTGGACGTTTTGTAATCTTTCTCGATTTTGACTCTAATTGACTATCTTTAGCCAATATATCCGTTGGGTCTGTTGATCGAGCCTCAAAGAAAGACATTTCAACCCTCAGCGAGTGCGTTTGCGGCTTCATTCAGTAATAAATGAGAAAAAACAGTGTGCGATTCTTCCCCGTCGAAACGGGGAAAAATCGAACACCTAAGGGGAAAAGTCGGACATAGGCTTTAATTTAACAAAAACCTATGAAAGTAGGTCAGAAATCTCTTGAGAACGATATTTGGGGGTAAGACTTGCGATACCCACTGAAGCAGGCGCATGAGTATTCCTAGGTAGACAGAAATCATCGTAGCATTGTTAGGGGGTCCGAGGCGGCACGTTTTTGAGGTTAAATGACCAAAATGTATGAAATCGTCAACAGCCGTGTTTGTTTTCCCACTAAATGTTGGGAAATGCTAAAATACACTCGTTACCACCACTTTGGTGGGACGTTAGGGCAATTCATCGATTATTATAGAAAAAAGAGGTGTTCGATTTTTCCCCGCACCAGTGTACGGTTTTTCCCCGTTTCGTATTTAACCCTTCATATGTAATCCAGCTGGAAATCTGCTAAAACATTTGAACGTATCTTGGGCTCCACACTTCGAACTTTCGTTTACAATAAGAATATTCGTCACAGTAGGCTCGGAAAGTCGTTAAAAAGAGATATTGCGGGCACCAACTTTGAAAGTTTTTAAGGTGTTTTAAACGAGATCTCGTTTAAAGGTGACTTTGAATACTTTCCGGTTCAAGTAGGCTAAATTCCTCTTAAACGCAATCTAGCAGATCATCAATAAGCAATACTGAATACTTTGGACGTCCCAAAACAGGTAAATTTGTGGCGAAAGTGCGGTGTGCGTTTCTTCCCCAACTTGCAGGTGTCCGGTTTTTCCCCGCTCTGACCCTAGCTCTACAAGATTTAACCATTTCTGTCTTCCTAAGGGAATGTTATCACGACCCGAAAAAGTTGAGATGGACGACCAGTTTTCGTGGCTTTTTTTCTGTACAGGGGCCTTTCCGCATAATACCTCGCTACGTGACCCATTGCCCACCCGCTTTGCAGCCTGCGAAGCCTCTCGATTTCTACGTGATGCAAACACGCGACCGGCATGACCCAGATCTCTGGTACTACAGTGGCAACTTTACGACCCTGTTCACGTGGACGAATGACCAGGACGTGAGTACCCAGGTTCCTCGCGAATGCTCACTAGAAAGTCAAAATTTGCTAGGCATGCGCGTTCGGCTTCGAACTTGAAAAAACTCGTCTTGCAAATGCTACATGGTGGCTCGGAGGGTGGAAGGCATAAGGACCGTCCGAAATAACATAAAGCGCTTCCGATTGAGAGCAATTGCAACTTGGATATGTGTCTCATCTTTTAGGTGATTGCTTCACAGTGAGTTGTTGCACCTTGATCAAACTTCCAACGTCTAAAGTGAACAGCAAGAGAAGCATTTAAGCCAAGAGGGAGCGTAGCAGTAGCAGCTGTCCGGTTGACAAAATTCTTGGCTTCTGAATGCTTCTGTTGTTACGTACGTTAGACATGACAAGAAATACGTGCTATCACTTGCTACACAGATTCCAAACGCTATGAGTATAGCACGTATGGTGCAATGCAGCTGAGATATCGCGCACCATACGTGCAATGCGATAGCCATATTGCACCTTACGTGCGATGCGTACCGAAAATGCCCTACCCTATGCTAATGCATGGGAATGGGGAGGTATTGCACTTCATGTGCAATGCTTTTGCATCGCACCAATTGACGCTATACACATAGCGTTTGGATTCTCAGTGTATATGAAACAATTACTATTTAGTAAGTCAATTTTTGAGTATAATTCGAGTATTGCCCCCTCACCTTGACTTTACTGCTGTGGCATTTGATTGGATTGGCGTCACTGCAAATTACACCGAAAGACTTGGCGTCAAGGTTTGGTCAGAACTGAAAGTCTCGCCAATATTCGGTCAGACGAAAATGTCTTGCCTCAAAAATGGCGATTTTGTCTGCCGCTGTAAAGGCGCTAATGATAGTCCATGCGGAGCAACGGACATACAAGAAAGTCTCACCATTTTGTGGCGAGACATGTCTGACCGAAATTTTGCGAGACTTTCAGGTCTGACCAAAACTTTTCTCACCTCTGAAGTGGCGAGAAGTCTGACCCTTGGATTTGTTGTGGTATTAAAAATTGTAACCTGAAACATCCAACGTTATGAGGACATTTACTTCCTTACGTGCAATAACACTTTTCTGACTGTCGTCAGGTTGACATTAACTTTGCTTCGTGGAGCAGCCGCGGTGGCTGGAAGGAGAACGCATACATTTTTAGAGTAAAGCACTACTGCTCGGCCTTCAAGACCTACGCGCCTCAAGCCTGGCGGAAAATCATGGTGGCGGTCAATGGTGACGCCGACGCTGACTGTCCGTGGCCGCCGGTAAGGAGAATACAGCGTGGAGATGGCTCATACATGATTCAAACATTTTTTTGTTGTTGTCGAAGGATCAAGGTTTTGAATTAGATGAACTAAAAATTTTAAACTAAGTGGTCTGATTAAAGAGACACGGCCAGCCTGAAGAAAAGTCGGACAGAAACACAAAATTTTGACGTTGAACCTTCTCTCCTTGGAGAGAGAAGTCTTTGATGAAACGTGCACGTCGTGCGCTAAGTCAGGAATTCGGATCGTATCGGTATTCTAATCTACGCTCGTCGGTGTTGCGGGCTGGCCACTACACGACGGTTTCTTCTGAAAACTTTGTTCATTGTCAAATCGAATAGGTTTACGACACAAAACTTCTCACTTCACTCTGAGAAAAAATAAAGGTAAATCCTGGATAACTTTTTGCCAAACTTTACCGTACTGCAAAAACCAGTATCCACCGTATACACTGAGAATCCAAACGCTATGAGTATAGCGTCAATTGGTGCAATACAAAAGCATTGCACATGAAGTCCAATGCCTCCAAATTCCCATGCATTAGCATAGGGCCTTTTCGGGAAGCATTGCATCAAAGGTGCAATATGGCTGTGGCATTCCACGTATGGTGCGATATCACAGCGCATTGCACCATACGTGCTATACTCACAGCGTTTGGAATCTGAGTGTAGTCTACAGTATGTACCGTACTTGTTTTACAAAATATTCCGTAGTCTTTTAACAGTAGTTACCGTTCTTCCGTACAGTCCGTGCCGTAGGAAGGACCAGATCTGTTCCCAACAAAGGCTGCTCCCAAGAATTGTCCACATCATGGTCTTGAAAAAAGGGGGTCGACCGACTGAAAAAATTTTTGCACCTTTCGATAGGTCTCGTCAAGACCTTTTGAGTGGTCGGAAGGGGATCCAGGAGTCCAACTTCAGCAGTTATGTACATCAGGATCTTGAAAAAACAACCCTTAAGGGTCGACCGACTGAAAAAAATTATAGCAGTTTTGGATAGGTATTAAATGTACGGGATTGCCGGGTAAAAAAGTACGGAATTCCCTGTAAAAAAGTACGGTGTTGCCTGTAAAACAAGCTAGGGCCCGCCCTTCCGTCGAACCGAGATGCCAGCTTCGCTTCGCCGGCAACTCGGTTCGACAGGGGGCCGGCCCAGCTTGGCCTGCCGACGGCCTTTCCTCGGGCCTTCGGCCCTCGCATCAGACCCAACTTGGCCAGTCGAAGGCCCGGGCCTTCGGCCCGCTCGCATCACACACTCTACAAATCGAAGAGTGTACATGGTATGCTCTAACTGGAGCATGCCTGCAAGCACGCTCTAGCTAGCGCATGCCTGCCAGGCATGCACTAACTAGTGCATACATGCCATGTACACCCTAACTGAAGCATGCATCTAGTGCATAAGGGATAGGGAGTTGTCTGCATCAGGAAGCGTGTACATGGTATGTATGCGCTAGTAAGTGCATGCTTGGCAGGCATGCGCTAGTTAGAGCGTGCTTGCAGGCATGCTCCAGTTAGAGCATACCATGTACACACTTCGATTTGTAGAGTACCTATCTTGTAACCCAGCGGTTCAGGAGACTAAATACTTCGCTTTGTAAATTCCGTAATCTGTAAATTCCGTCATTATTTCTGTAAATTCCGCCGTATTTCATAGGGAGTGAAAATAAAAGTCAACTTGTAGCGCTGCTACGCTCAGAGGGGTACTGTGGGGTACTATGTATGCCATCTACACCAAATTTAACCCCTAAAGTTGAACTTTAAAAAATAACATTTGGTACATCCAAAATGACCCCCTACGCACGGAATCACCCAGCCCTTGTGCGACCCGGACGGGATTTGCACCACCGGATTATTTGTTTGGACGGTACTCCTGAAGTACCCTCCAAATCTGGTTACTCTAGCTCAACTCCTTCCTTGTGCACAGACACCACCACCAACAACAACAACAACACACAGACACAAAGGCAAATGCATAGGCCCTCCCCCTATTTTTTGAATAGAAGGGCGGGCCAAAAAGTACGGTATTGCCTGTATAAAAAGTACGCTATTGCCTGTTAAAAAAGGTACAGTGAAGTCTGGAGTAATCAGTACAGGATTTACCGTGATCTTTTCTCGCAGTGTTGGACATTGCACTTAAGGTGAATTTTTACATTTGCGTTGTTGGTCGATCACAAAGTTTGATTTTTTTTTGCAGTTTGTGTGTGAAGAATTATCTTTCCTTTTTAGTTTTGTTTATAATTTGTTACTGCAGTTGGAATGTTGCGTTTTTTTTACAAATGCAAATTTTGACCGGATTTTATTTAATTTTTGACGACATTTAAACCACTTCTCACTTTAAAATGTTCTCTCGCAGGGCGTATACCATGTCCGAAACATGTCAACGGACTTCCGAATTCGTGCCATGCCGGCCTTTTACTACGGCAAATGGCGCCTCACATTGCGACTTATGGAGAACCACTATCAAGACACGCTCGGGTGTTTCGTGGCGTACGCCGACACTGTGCCCAGAGGCGGATTGTAATTCACTCTACAAATCGAAGAGCGCACATTGTATGCTCTAACTGCAGCATGCCTGCAAGCACGCTCCAGCTAGCGCATGCCTGCCAAGCGTGCACTTACTACACTCAGAGAAGGAAATTCTTGTAACAAGTAAAATTTTCTTGTTGCAATCTTTTTTTAGGATCACTTGCGAGCAAGAAAGTTTTTGGATCAGTTCGGATCTTGACTTTCTCTTGCCTGTATGTTAAAAATAGTTTCAGGCGAAGAAAATTTGTTATGAGGAGAGAATAGTTGACTCGGATCAATCGGCGTGATGCGATCAGTTTTGGTGTGACGTCAACAAAATTCTATGAGACAAATTTTTCTCCGTTCAATCCTGCAACCAGCATCAATGCCTGAGAAAATTCGGTTTTCTTGTGCCAAGAACACATTCTTGAAGCTATGGAGCATGCGCACTAGGTGGCGAATGGACCAATGGGGTGGCTGTTGTCCCCCACCACATAACTTCAGAGCAGCTACATTTCGTCATCAACACTCTCGAGCCCACCCTGACAGCTCTGCAACAGCCCAATGGCACAGTGGTAGAGTGTCTGCCTCACAGGATAGTAATCCGGGTTCGGATCCCAGCCGATGCGTCACCTGTTTTCCCAGGCCAACCTGACCGTTCGCATGCCGGGGACTTCAGATGGATAGCAAAGGGGCGAGCTGTTGTTTTTGGTCGTTTTCAGCTTTACATGTTGAGCTCTGCGTAATAAGCGTGCTAACTTGTTTGAAAAAAAAAAGAGACGAAAAAGAAAAAAACAGATGGGATTTGAACCGAAGTGCGTAGACTACGGGAGACGCCCCTTGACCACTGCGCTACCACAGCGCTGCGTCTGAGCACGGCGATAGATTCTAATGACGTATTCAATTGGAGTTGAAACAAAATGTCCGCAGAGCCGGGATTTGAAGCTGGTCAACGGATCTGAGGCTGGGGTGGGACCTAAAGTTCAAACAAAAATATCGAAGTGGACGGGTTTTGAACCGCAGTCCACCGAAGTGCCAGACGGGACCGTTACCACTCACTACTGCCGCCTGTTAAACCGGGGCTTCATCAGCTGATCTCAGTTTCCGCGTTCGGTCCTCTCTTTAATTTTTCTGAGCGCTCGAGCAGGCGTCGAAGTGTATAGCGTTTATCGAGGCACACTGAACAGAGCGACACATTGGCGCTGTGGCTTGCGAGCTGGCAATCTAGTTCAAAAGCGGGTGTTCGATGCTCGTCGCCTCCTTCACTTTTGAAGTCGAACATGAAATACAGGCCGAAAATTGAGAATAACACGTTCTCATTATCGATCTAAACCATGCTCGAAGTGAGAAAATTAGGATTGAATGGAGTAAATTATGATCAAAACATTTCATTAGAAAATCCGGGATTGCCACAAGAATTCCTTCCTCTGGGTGTAGTGCATACATGTACACGCTATCCCTTATGCACTAGATGCATGCTTCAGTTAGCGTGTACATGGCATGTAGGCACTTTAGTGCATGCTTGGCAGGCATGCGCTAGCTAGAGCGTACTTACAGGCATGCTCCAGTTAGGGCATGCAATGTACGCTCTTCGATTTCTAGAGCAGTTTTCCGCAAAGAAGGTGGTCCAGCTGGTGAGGGATTCGTTTGGTAAAATACCTCCAGACCGTTTACCAGGATCTATTACGGCGTCGACACATTTCAAGATCCAGCCTAAGCGTTCCATTTGGTGGTAATAGGCTAAAGGACTTATTCGCAGTGGGCATGGCCGGTCGGAGCTGATAATTAAATTGGCGTTTTCACCCTCATTGAATCAGAGGATTATTTAAAAGGAAGGACCTCGTTTCGACCCCCTTGGATTGATTGTCACGTCTTTCTCCTTTATTTTGTACACTTCATAAGATAAGGATTATTAAAATTTCAGACTCCTGCGTCCATTTTTTAAGTTCTTTAGGGCAATTTGAGTTTTTCTTGCTCTCTTTGCTGCCTATTCGGGTATTTCGACTTGTTATCATGTCGATTTGAGCGCCGATACCTGCCATACTGCCTGGCGAAGGAAGGCTAGCGCCGCAGGCCAAGGTAGGTGTAGGAACTGGCGCAAAGCCTGTTACGACAAGTCTTTGTCTGGCGTTCACCTGACTTGTAAATAAATACAGGAAACGGACCTAAGCAAAAGTAAACACATACTAATGAACTTAAACGCAGGACCACCTGGGTATTTACATCAAAGACGAACTTTACCGAAAAGGTGTGTTTGTCTGCTGGCGCGCCCGATCACGAAGATTTGATCTCTTCCCAGCTGTGGCTTACCTTTCGTGCGCATTGCCGTGCATGTCGGGACCGGCCACGGAATCTCTCCGTGAGTTTCTTGTTCGCGATGTGTATCGATTCGCTTTACACTGTAGTTTCGTGGACTTCAATGATGTGCATTGCAATCGTCAGCGCACTGCACCCGACTGGACCGGCGATGTTCCATCACCATGTGGTCGGACACCAGGCATAATATCAAGAAATGTGGTTCAAAGTCGTCGTATCCATCCAACGCAACGTTTGGCCTGTACCGGTACTTGGGCCTGCTGTTACCAAACTCCAGGTTATGGCCCGTCCTCTGTGGGGCTAGAATGTAGGCAGCTTAGCGATATCCTTAAAGGCAGACAAACCCCCGTCACGGTAACTCCTCACGGTAAGACTCGATCCTGGATCTTCCAAGACCGTCCTGGTTTCTCCTAAATACATAGGAAACCCAGGACGGTCCTGGAAGATCCAGGACCAGGTCTTGCCGTGCTGGGTACGCGCCTGCCGTGAGACTTATTACACTGTGATTCGACATAAACTACCCTTCTCCTCTTCTGTTTAATTGGAGAGTAGCCCCAAAAGGTCACCGTTTCCGGCCAAAC